GAAAGATCTATGTCCCTACTTCCCATTATCTATCTTCTCTTTTACTCTTTATTTGTCCTTTGTGCTTCTGACTACTTTGCTCAGTCTCCATTATCTAGTCGTACTACCATCACCCTCTCACGTGGATAAGAACCTCCTAAATTACTTCCTGCATTCATGCTTGTCCGCCTTCCAAATTCCCTCCACCCCACAGTCAAGAGTGACCTATTCTAAGCTCACACCTGAGGTTACCACGGAGGCCGAAAATACTTCCCCTTGCTATGGCAAAGCCCCCACAGCCTCAGCCTATAAATCCACCGGCGTTCAGACCCTCCCAGTTCCGCCTCACCTTCTGTCTCCCTTCTGCTCTCCAAACACGGGAACAACTCTCTTTCAGACCCTCAGATGCACCAGCTCCACCTCCTGATCGATTCATCGCAGTGTGGGCATTCCTACCTCTCTCAGCCTCTTCAGCTCCAGCGTAGCCCTGTGCCTCTGGCCAACCCTCACTCCCTCAAAGAGCTTCCCGGGCACTCCAGGGCGGCCCCTTCTTGACCTGTGTGTCTTCCACAGCACTCCTCCAAGTTGCCACTTCTCATTTTGTGACTATTCCCCAAACAAACTCCCCAACAGGACCCAAGCTTCACAACAGCAATGAGTGCGTCCTTTTTCGCTCTCCATGTTATTTTAACTACCCAAGACAACATCTGGGACATTATCAGCACTCAATTAATATGTAGTGAATCGGGCCAGGGATTTAGCTCAGTGGTTTTGCCGCCTGCTGTGCAAGGGCAAGGACCCGAGTTCGATCGCCAGTACCAGGAAAAAAGAAAAAATCTCTTTCTATATATAGATATATATATAGTGCATCAATTTTCAACTTCAAGGCTGCACAATAGCCCATTAAAAGCAGATTTAACACAGCACTAGGACAGGTACATCACCAGCTCATTACCAGTGTTTCTTTATAGATGGTGGCGAACAGTAAATCATTTTAAATACTAATTCAGGAACTGTGCAGGGTAAAGAGAATGTGATAGAAATGCATTGTTTTGCTGTTATTTTAAAGGCACAAACAAGCAGGATATTGTATTTCAAGACAGAGAGGTGAGTTTTTCTAAAGTATTAGTTCACAACCTTTGTTCTACCCCAATACACCTTCTATCAGATACTACTATTACTACTAGCACTACTAGTAGTAATGCCTCTGCTACTAGTAATACTAATACCACCGCTACTAGTAATACTAGTAATACTACCACTAGTAGTGAAACTAGCAGAAACCACTGCTACTTTCCCAGTGTTCAGAAAGTGGCTCACCACAGCAAAAAATCTCAACCAAATGAAAGAAAGCAATGTGCTGGGCACAATTGCAGTCCCAGCACCAAGAAGGCTGAGGCAGGAGGATTGCTGAGTTTGAGTCCAGCCTGGGCTACACAGTGAGTACAAAGCAAGCCTCCAAAGGAAAAAAAAAAAAAGGGGCTGGGGATTTAGCTCAGTGCTGCCATCGCCTGCCTCACAATCGAAAGGTCCTGAGTTTGATCCCCAGTACAAAAAAAAAGGATATAGTTAGAAATGGATCTATCTTGAAACCACCAAAAGTGTGAAAAGACAACCTACAAAAAAATTTTCACCAGCTGTTCCTCAGACAAAGATCTATGTAGAATATATAAAGAACTTAAAAAAATCAGAGCTCCCAAATTTAAAGATCCAATCCAAAAATGGGCATCTGAAATGAGCAGACATTTCTCAAAGAAGTAGAAATGGCAAATAAATATATGAAAAAATGTTCAACATCACTGGTCATTG